CTCAGGGGTACTCTTCCAGATCTTTCCCTGTGTGTTCTATATACAGATACTTAGCTTTCTTTTCATACCCTAATAATCTAACTCCAAATTCTGTGTTCTTTCCAAAACAATTTTTATTTTGTATTTCCTTTTGTGATCTTCCACAATTCTAGGTTTGTATTCTATACCAAATGGATGCTTGAAAAACACTTTTGATAGGGCTGCTCAAGAATGGATTTTGGCCCCAGTAAAGTACATTTTTTTTCTGATTCCTCAGTAACAGAAAACCAGCTTAAAAAAAAATGTATGTATGTATATATGTGTGTGTGTATATATATATATATGGGATTTTTCCTGGAGTGCCCTCTTTGTCTGCTGGTTCCAAGAATTTGTACTAGATTCTCTCAAATTCCGGTCATCCCTGCAAAGGTTATCTAGCACATCATTTTCCTTCAAAGCTCATAGGGCTCATCATATGATAAAGAGGATGCTAATTCTAGGTAAAACTATAAAATAGACAATTAGGTGTAATTGTAGCTTCATTCTAGGGAACGCTAAACTTGTTCCCTTAAGTTTTTTTGAGTGTGGAGGCTGAAATTTAAAAAACAGTTATATAGTTATATTTTTAAAAAATGACAATAAACTGATGATCAATGAGACACTAAAGAACTGGGTTGTAACACAACCTGAGCAAGGGACCCTAGTACCTTCCACATGGTAGAAGCCCACAAGGGTCCTGGAGCTGACCCTGCCCAAGGAACAGGCTCCAGCCTACAGTGTCATGTGGGAGACCCTGTCTGCCTTTCTGGCCTTAACTCACACCATTCCATGTCCTGCTCTGTATTCCAGTTCCATCCAAATATACTTTCTGAACACACACACACACACACACACACACACACACACACACACACTCCAACACTGAACCTTAATGCCAAAGATTACCTAATAGTGAATTAAAACCTAAGTGGCTGGGATGCCTGGGTGGCTCAGTCGGTTAAGCATCTATCTTCAGCTCAGGTCATGATCCTGGGGTCTTGGACGTGAGCCCCACGTCAGGCTCCGCACTCCGCACTCAGGAGGGAGTCTGCTTCTCTCTTTGCCCCTCCCCCTGCTTGTGTGCGCTCTCTATCTCTCTCTCACTCCAATAAATAAATAAAATCTTGGGGAGAAAAAAAACCCTAAGGGGCTAGCAAAACTACTCTATAGTGTTAGTGGTCAGAAGAGCAGTTACCTGGGGGAGGAGTACTGATTGGGAGCCAAACAATGGAGTCTACTGGACTGTTGAAAATGTTCTATATCCTGATCTAGGTGATTACACAGATGTATACATACACTGATTCATCAAGCTGTATATTTGAGATTTGTGTATTTATGTAAATTGCGCTTCAATTAAAAAGTTGAGAAAACAAAGTAAAACAGAGAAAACCTGAGAGGTCTGCTCTAATTTGAATCTGTTGAGATGTGTTTTATGCCCCAGAATATGGTCTCAGTGAATGTTCCAGGTTCACCAACAAGGAATGCATCCTCAGCTGCTGCTGAGTGGAACATTCTCTAAATGTCAACTAGACAGTGTCGGTTGATGACACTGCTCAGCTCTTCTATATTCTTGTTGGTTTTCTGTCAAATCCTTCTACCACTGAAAGAGGAGTGTTGAAGTCTCCAACTAGACTCGTGGATTCCTCTGTTTTTCCTTTCAGTTATGACAGCTTTTGCTTTGTATGTCGTGGAGCCCTGCTATTGAGGTTCACACACATTTAAGACTGCTGTGCTTCTTGGTCAACCGGGCCGTTTACCATTACGTAATAGCTCTCTTTATCCCTGGTCATTTCTTTGCTCAAAATATGTTGACAATGGGGTGCCTGGGTGGCTCAGCTGGTTAAGCGTCTGCCTTCAGCTCACGTCATGTTCCCAGGGTCCTAGGATCCAGCCCCGCATAGGACTCCTGCTCAGCAGGGAGCCTGCTTCTCCCTCTCTCTGCCTACTGTTCTGCCTACTTGTGATCTCTCTGTCAGATAAATAAGATCTTTAAAAAAAAATACTTTGACATTAATATAGTCACTCTGACCTTTTAATTAGTATTTACATGATATCTTTTCATCCTTTTAATTTTTACCTACCTATATTGTTAAGTTTGAATTGAGTTTCTTATGGAAAACATATAGTTTGTTCATGATTTTTTTCTCTATTCCAGTCATTTCTTTTAACTGATATTTACAGATCATTTCCATTTAATATAACTATTGATGTGTTTTAATTAGGTCTATCATTTTCCATGACAGATTTTCCATGAACATTTTTAAAAATTCCATTTTGGTTTATAGTAATTTTTACTATAACATGTTTTCTAGTGGTGGGATTACAATTTTATGTATTTAACTTTCCAAAATTTATTTAGACTCAACATTTTACCTCTTCAGGTAGAATGTAGAAAACTTATCACTATAGAGTTCCCTTATATTACAGACAATTTTATAATTTTTGCCGTCAAATTATTTCAGAGAACGCAAGAGAAGAGAAAGAGACTGTTCTATTTACTTAGAGAGTTACTCTTCCTCTTCCTTCATTACTAACCTCTAAGTCTCCTTCTGGTATCATTTCTCTTTTGGCTAAAGGACTTCCTGACACAAGGAATTACTTTAGACCAGACCCCTGGTAAAAGGGTAAACCCCCTTAGTTTTCCTCCAGCTGAGAATACTTTTATTTCACCTCCTTTCCTGATAGATATTTTCACGAGGTAAAGAATTCTAAATTGACAAGTCTTTTCTTTCAGAACTTTAAAAATGTTATACCACTGTCTTCTAGCCTCCATGCTTTCTGAGGAGAAATCTGCGGTCATTCAAATCATTGTTCCCTATAAGTAATATGTCATTTTTCCAAAGCTACTTTCAATATTTCTCTTTGTTTTTAACAATTTAATTATGAGGTATCTGGGTAGGGTTTTCTTTGGTTTATCCTGTTACAAGTTTGCTGACAGATTCATAAGTCTTCATTCTTAACTGCTTGAAGTACTGGAGAAATTTTAGATATATTAATGCATAACTATATTTTCAAAGATTAACTATGAAAAGGTCTTAAATGTTTGGGGAATTTAATCAGTCATGCACTATTAACCAAACTAAACAAAAGCAAGAGCAATAGTTTATTTATTTTTTTTTTTAAGATTTTATTTATTTATTTGTCAGAAAGAGAGAGAGAGAAAGCACACAAGCAGGCAGAGAGGCAGGCAGAGGCGGAGAGAGAGGCAGGCTCCCCGCTGAGCAAGGAGCCCCATACGGGACTCAATCCCAAGACCCTAGGATCATGACCTGAGCCGAAGGCAGCGGCTCAACCCACTGAGCCACCCAGGCATCCCGAGCAATAGTTTTTATACAAGAACATTAATATAAACTCTAGAGCCAATCTGCCCAAGTTCAGACAACAGTGCTACCACTTACTGAATGCCTGACTTGGGTAAATTACTTAATTCTCGGGGCACCTGGTTGGCTCAGTGGGTTAAAGCCTATGCCTTCAGCTTAATCACTATCTCAGGGTCCTGGGATTGAGCCCTGCATCGGGCTCTCTGCTCAGCATGGAGTGTGCTTCCCCGCCCCCCTTCCACCTCTCTGCCTACTTGTGATCTCTGTCAAATTAAAAAATAATAATAATAATAATACTTAATTCTCTATGCTTGAGTTGTCGCCCTGGTAAAGTGAGGATGATGAAACAGTATCTGGCTCAGAGTTTTTACAAGAATGAATGAGTTAATATACACAAAGGTTTAGGAGAATCCCTGGCATATAGTAAGTGTTATACGCATGCCAGCAATTTTTGTTATTTTAAATTGAGTATAAAGATAAAGGCTTAAGAAAACCTCTTTGGGGGCGCCTGGGTGGCTCAGTGGGTTAAGCCTTTGCCTCTGGCTCAGGTCATGATCTCGGGGTCCTGGGATCGAGCCCCGCATCGGGCTCTCTGCTCAGCGGTGAGCCTGCTTCCCCCTCTCTCTGCCTGCCTCTCTGCCTACTTGTGATCTCTCTCTCTCTCTGTCAAATAAATAAATAAAATCTTAAAAAAAAAAAAGAAAAAGAAAACCTCTTTGTAAGAAAGAGAGAGAGAATATGTGCACATGCAAATGTACGAGTAGGACGGAGGGGCAGGAGAGGGAGAGAGGGAATCTTAAGCAGTCCCACACCGGGCATGGAGCCCTATGTGGGGGCTTGATCTCACGACCCTAGGATCATGACCTGAGCTGAAGCCAGGAGTCAGACACTTAACCGACTAAGCCAGCCAGGTGTCCCAAGAAAAACTAACTTTTTGAGTTAAAACTTTAATAAGTTGAATATTTATTAAAAGACAAATGTTTGTAAGCATTTCACTTAAACACAAAAGCCTTGTCTTAGTTCAGAAAAGCCCACTAACCACAGAATAGAGCCCCACAAGGCCATGAGGGAGGAGCCACAAGTTGGTCACCTTTGAGTTCCTCACAAAAGCCACATACTCAGTAAACCCCAGCTACTGGCTCAGTGGGTGAACTCAATGCTGATCCGTCAACAGGTGTTGCCTACCAGCACCTACAATGCACAGACATGCAATGCCTGAAGTCAGCCAATGGAGAACAGAGGTCAGTTGAGATCCCAACAGCAGTGTTCTACAGAAGTGATCTTATTTAAGACGCATCTGTTCTAGGAGCTGGCCAATATTGATACTAATCCCTTTTTTATAATAATTTCAGCAGAAAAACTACAGATTATTTAACTGAGTCAGTCAAGGTACTTCAAGAAGAAAATACCTACTTCCAAAGTTTTCTATTACATGTTGAACACTAAAATGTTCTCTTTTAAAGAGATGCTAGATTTTTGGAGGCAGGTTAAAAAAGTGTTTTTAGTTACAGTCCACTTCAATTAAAGATGGTTTTAAAGTATTGTTTGGGTGAGACACTAAGGCCAAATCAGAAGTAAATTATCCCATGCTAGAACACATGAGCATGTTAAATGTTAGCCATGGTGACTACATGCTAAGGAGTAAAGAAAAGCAAGACTCACCTCAAAGTTGTACTTTCTCATCTGGTTGAAGTGTCTGCAGTACAGGTAGAGCATGCCGATGCTGCTGCCCACAGCAATGTAGTCCCCATTGGTATCGAGAGCTGTGAGGTAGACCACAATAGAGCGGAAGCCCTTCTGGACCTTTGTGGGAATGGCATTGAGGAGATAGTACAAGGGGCAGAACTCTCTGAATGTAATAGGCTCTGATACTGATGCCATGGCCAAGGTTGTCACAGATGATCTTCAGGCAGGAAAAGGAATGTTTACTTGGCATCTGGGGAAACCTGGGGGCTGAAGAACAAGGCATTACAATTCTTTCAACCTCTAGTCATGCCAAAAAGAAGTCATGTATAGCAGTGGGAGGAAGGAACTTGCGGGTGGGTAAAATTGTAGGTGGAGCTCAACTGAATGGAGAAAGTACCTGGTTTCATTAAGATCACTTTTAAGCATTTTAATTCAACAGGCACCTCAATGCATATGGGCCCCTGTAATTCACATTGTGCTAAGTACTGTGGAGGAATGGGAAGAACATTAAAAACAGTTCTTATTCTCAAGCAGTTTATGATCTAGCCAGGCAGGCAAAAGAAACTGAAGATACACAAAACCTCATGTGGTTAGTGCTAATCTATGGGTCTTGATGAGAAGAGGGAGGGAGCAATGTGGAAAAGGCTTCACTGGAAACATCCTGAACTATGAAGCCCACCAAGAGGAACGGAACATGGAAAAGAGAAACAGGAAAGACACTGTACCAGGAGAACAATGAACCAGTCCTGACGGAGAAATACACTCACTGCTGAGACAGCAGAGAAACGTGTCCCCCAGCTGGATGTTTGCAGCCTCCTTGACACCCAGAGACTCAGTTATACAACGGTTCCACCGTGAGACCAATATCTCTTGGTGCTCTAAATTCAAAACTTCCCTCAATAAGGATACTCAGTCCTCACATAGCACGCTGTAATTTATGATGAGCTTAATCACTCGTTGAATCCTTACCCTACCTGTAAGATCAGTGGTGTCAGCCCCAACTTTGAGAGGAAGGTACTAAGGACACAAGGGTCACAAGACTTGCCCAAGACCACACAGCCAAGACCTGAATCTAGGTCTTCTCCCTCCAAATCCTGAGCCCTTCCGATCCCAGAGTCACAGTTCCGACAGACAAGCAGCAGCTACAGATGGGTGTCTTGTCCCTGATTCAAGCCGGAGGTGTATTTCACTCCTTCAGTTCCATGGAGACTAAGCCCCTCTAGTAAAAACTTGTTGGGATGCTGGATTTGGAACTGTGGGTTTTCTATTCCTATAGAGTCGACCAACCAACTTCCAAGTTCTCTTATAATGAAACTCCCACCCAATTCATTTTCACCCAGGAGCCCTTGCATTGGCTGTTCCTTCTACTGGAATGCTCTTTCTCCAGATGTGACTCAGATTTTGCTTCTTCTCGGCCTGTAGGTCTCTGCTAAAATGTCCTCTTCTCCACAAGATCCCACCTGCCCAACCCCTAAAGTGAGCTTCCTACCACCACCGAGTACTCTCTATTCGCCTCTCCCTGCTTTGTCTTCTCACATATCCTTTTTCTTTGCTGTTGACTGGCCATCTCTGCCTGACCCCCTCTACCATCACTGGTCAGTAAGGCCCACAGGAATAGGACCACATCTGCTTCACTCACCCTACAGCCCCCAGCACCTAGAAAAGGATCAGGCATAACAGGGGCTCTCAGTAAGTAGTTACTGAATAGCTGAATGACTTATATAAAAGGAAAATTTGCAAGGAAGGAATGAGTGACAAGAATGGAAGACCAGCAAAATATCTCTCACCACTATGGCCCCACTTCAGTGCTGGAATAATAACCCCTGGATGTGTGTGGCATATCCCGTGTTCCAAGCATCCTCAGACTCCTGTTCTGCTTGATAATCACAACAGTCAATACAGTGAAGCGAGCAGGGTAATTTATGAGAGGCTCCTAAAGGTAACAACAAGAATCCTATCCCTCTGTGATATTTAAGAAAACTTACTTAATACACCCTTTTGTAGCAGAGACTGAAGCTCTGGGAGGTTCAGAAATGTGCCCAAGCTCCCATAGCTTTAAATGCCCAGTGCAACAGGCATCTGGATGAGAATGCTCGTTCTGCTCATACGGCAGCACAAATCGTAAACTTAGAACCTTTTTTTTTTATGCTTTATTTATTTATTTGACAGACAGAGATCACAAGTAGGCAGAGAGGCAGGCAGAGAGAGATGGGGAAGCAGGCTCCCTGCTGAGCAGAGAGCCTGATGCGGGGCTCGATCCCGGACCTGGGATCATGACCTGAGCTGAAGGTAGAGGCTTTAACCCACTGAGCCACCCAGGTGCCCCTAAACTTAGAACTTTTTAAGAGCAAGACCAATCTTTGGTTATGCAAGTATTCCAGAAAGGTGGGCAAGGTTCGCAGGATGCAGAAATCAAACAGAAATGAAATGGCTCTTAGGCAAACTCAAGTGAGAACAGTTGCTGACAGACACCGTGGGAAAGGAGGTAGGTCATTCAAGGACATGGGACACTAACTCCAAAACACCAACAGCAGCAGCAATAATGGTAATAGCTACTGATGTTACATCACAGCAACGATCCTTAGCACACTAACTCGTGACATCCTCAAAAAATATCCTAGAAGGTCAGGACCACTGTTACCTCCATTTCTGAGATGAGGAAACTGCTCCCATTTCAACAATCTTCTTTTCATCTTCAAGTATCAGAGCAGAATAGGAGCAGAAAAGGCTTTGTTACCTCAATGAGTCTGTGCATGCAAACACACTGATAAGTTTGCATAATTTATATAATGTTTTTAAAATGAAATCTTTTATTTCATTTTGTTTTTTTCATTTTATGTTATTTATGTTTACCGTCAAAAAATTGGAATATGAAAAATTACAAGGCACTAAATAAATGCCGCTCATAACCCCCCACACAAAGATGCGCTATGTATACAGATGGCTACAGACACGCAGGCACGCACTTAATAAAGCACAAGCACTTGCCCTGTCGCTAAATGTTCCCATAGGACGTGATTTTTATTTATTTATTATTTATTTATTTATTTTATTTTTTTTTAAAGATTTTATTTATTTATTTGAGAGAGAGACAGTAAGAGAGAGCATGAGCGAGGAGAAGGTCAGAGGGAGAAGCAGACTCCCCATGGAGCTGGGAGCCCGATGCGGGACTCGATCCCGGGACTCCGGGATCATGACCTGAGCCGAAGGCAGTCGTCTAACCAACTGAGCCACCCAGGCATCCCAGGACGTGATTTTTAAAGACTGTATAGAAAAACTGCAGAGGACACACTGTATACATAAACCAAAAATTTCCCAACTAAAATGTTTAACTTTCTACTTTAGCGGGCAAGGCCTCCCAGGAAGCAAGTGGAAATACTAAGCAGTTTACAATTGTCAGCTGGCACGATCTTCCTCCTTTAAAAGGCATTTTCCACAAAGTAGCTTTGTCAAAATACGACATTTCTATTTTAAAAATTAATCCACTTGATGTGATACTATGCACTGACAGCTCCACAATCTCTGCAGAAGGTATTTCAGACTGCGGTCTGGTTCAAAGAGGGCCAGAGGATTCATCCTGAAACTCAGCTGCAGAGCAGGCACACTCTTCTAACTTGGACTGCATGTTTATTTGTGGTGGCTTAGTAGGTACTAACAGATAATACAGAAGGTCAGAGTCCCTGGAATCATCTCTTTGGCACAAACAATAATAATTCTATCAGCTTCAAAAATGTATAAGGATCCCTCCCGCACTTACCAGGTCCCAGCAGAGATTAAAAATGATCACAACTCTGTGGCAGATAATGGGCTGTATAATCAAATTCTGAATCAGTTTTTCAAGCTGAAATCCTTGCGTTCAGCCCTGACTTCTCCTCCTCCCTCTCCTTCACTCCTACAACAACTCCTCACCTCATTCCATTCACTCTATTTCCTAACCTGTGTCACACCTGTCCCTTTCTCACCATCTCTGTGGCCACATCCAAGACGAAGCCATCACACATCTCACCTGAACTTCCATAGCATTCTTCTAATGACGGCTCTCCCGCTTCCACACCTGGCCTTTAGGACCTGTGCTCTTATAAAGCAGTCAGAATGAACTCTGTGACTTCATCAAAATTAAAACCTTCTGTGATCCTAAAAAAAAAACCACACTACCAACACACTGAAAAGACAACTCACAGAACTGGGATAAATATATGTTAATCACATAACTGATAATGCATTTGTACCCAGAATATATTAAAAAACTCTTAAACCTCAATAGTAAAGAAACAATTCTTAAATGGGCAAAGGATCTGAGTACACATTTCTCCAAAGAAGACATAAAAATGGCCAATAAGCACAGTAAAGATGCTCACCATCATTAATCATCAGGGAGATGCAAAACAAAAGGACAATGAGCTATCACTTTAAATACTAAGATAGCTATAATAATTAAAAAAAAAAAGACATAATATATTTTAGCAAGAACGTAAAGAAACTGAAATCCTCATACATTGCCGGTAGAAAATAAAATGATAAGGCAGCCACTATGAAAAAGTCTAGCAGTTAAAGCAGAGTTACCACATAACCCAGCAATACATACACAATAACACATACAGACTTACATCTACACAAAAATATTATGAAGGTAATAATATTAAAAGTAAAAATATTTAGGGGCACCTGGGTGGCTCAGTGGCTTAAGCCTCTGCCTTCACCTCAGGTCATGTTCTCAGGGTCCTGGGATCAAGCCCCCCATTGGGCTCTCTGCTCAGCGGGGAGTCTGCTTCCCCCTCTCTCTCTGCCTGCCTCTCTGCCTACTTGTGATCTCTGTCAAATAAATAAAATCTTTAAAAAAAAAAAGTAAAAATGTTTAAAAATACCAATTGTCCATTGAAATAACAGTATATCCATACACTGGAATATGAATTAAAGGAGTGAAGTTCTGATACATGCTACAACATGATGAACTTTGAAAACATGGTGCTAAAGTGAAAGACAGACCCACACACAAAACCACATATTGATTCCATTTATATGAAATGCTCAGAATAATCAAACCTATACAAACAAAAAGTAAATCAGTGACTGCCTAGGATGGGAGTGGGGGTGACTGCTTAATGGTACGGGGTTTCTTTTGAGAGTAATGACAAAGTTCTTTTTGGACACTGGGAAAGTTATGTGCTATGGTGAGTGCTATGAAGTGCGTAAACTTGGCGATTCACAGATCTGTACTTCTGGGGCTAATAATACATATATGTTCATTGGAAAATAAAAAATTATAAAA